ATTTTTTTTTTTTTTTTTTTTTTTTTTTTTTGTAATTAAATTTATTTACATTATTAAAAAATTAATAAAAATAATAATACTAAAAAAAAAAAAAAAATTAATGATTATTTATATAAATTCATTTTATTTCATTATCTTTTATTATGTATTTTTAAATCTTAATTTAAAATTTTTTTTTTTTAAACTGCTTTATATAATTTTTTTTCTTTTTTTTAATATGCACATGTAAATACATGTATATACACACATATGTATATATATATATATATATATATATTAAAATATTTAATTATTTATTATATTTAGTATATTTATTATATTATAATATTTACTTATATATTTTTTTTTTTTTTTTTTGTTTTTTTTATTGTTTTTTGTTCTTTGTTCGTAATTTATTTGTTACTATACAAAATGAACAATCTTTTATTATTTTTTTTTATTCATGTCTTCCTTTTTCTACAATTAAATTTTTATAAATAAATAATATCCGTTTAAAAATGAGATTCTTATCTATTTATTTTTTCTTTTTCGTTAGAATTATTTTTAAAATAAAACTATTTTTATTCCAAAAATTATACTGAAACTTTGTTAATTATATATTTCTAATGTGTTCTATATATTATTTTATTTTTAATATGGCATCAAATATTACAATAAACCAATAAAGAAATTAAAAAAAAAAACAAAATTTATATGAACTTAAAAGACTAAAATTTATAAAAATATAACATTTAAAAAACACTCTTTTATGTTTTTAACAAAAAAAAACCTTGTTTCAATTAATTGAAATATATTTTATTTAATAAATTAAAAAAAAAAAAATTCTTCAAATTTCTTATAATTTTTATTTTCAATATGGTTACATTGAAGACTTTTTTTATTTATGTAAATACATTACTTCTCCGTAATATTCTATGAATTTTTTTAATATCATTAAATTAAGAGAAGTAATAAAATATTTTATTGTCATAATGTTACATTAAATGATAATTTTAACGAAATTTGTGAAACCATATTGTATCTTTTCTTTTTAATAATCGTTCTTAATACACCTTAATCACCTCATTATTTTTTTTTATCTTCTTGTAAGCTTTTTTTGAAAAAAAAGAAAAAATAACAAAATATATAACATTATTTATAATCTATTAAATATCTTATAATTCATTTTTTGCTGTTTAATTTAAGAAAAAATTAAGAAAAAAGAGGAATTTTTTTAATATAAACATATTTTATCAATTATAATTAAATGCAATATATGTAAAAAAAAAAAAAAAAAAAAAAAAAATATGCAGAAAATTATTTATATATAAGCCGGGATATTTTTATTGTAATTTAATTTTTAATTTTATGAATTTCGTTATTTTTATAGGAACTTTAAAATAAAATTATATTTCTTTGTAAAAATGATTAATAAGTTTTACATTTGATTTATTTTTTATTTAAAAATTTGAGATGTATATATAAATAAACTACTTAAAAGAGAAGTATTAAAAAATTAAAAATTGATAATTTTTAGTAAAATAATTTTTTATATAATAATTAAAAAAAAAAAAAAAATTTAATAAAATAATAAAAAAATAAGTAAATATATAGAATAAAATAAAATATAAAAAAGTTTAATAAAATAAAATAAAAAGAAAAATGGCAGATCAATTTACAATTCGCATAAAAAAATTTATGCAGAATCCTCTTTTATGTAGAAAGCAATTTGCTTTAGAAATTTTACATCCAAATAGAGGATCAGTATCAAAAAAGGAAGTTAAAGAAAAATTAGCTAAAATGTATAAATTAAATGATGTAGGTACAATTATTTTATTTGGTTTTAAAACTTTATTTGGTGGTGGTAGAACGAAAGGATTTGGCTTAATTTATAAAAATGTGGAAGCAGTTAAAAAATTTGAAAAAAAATACAGACTTATTAGAGAAGGATTAATAACAAAAGAAACTAAAACAGGAAGAAGAGCAGCAAAAGAACTAAAAAATAGAAGAAAAAAAGTAAGAGAATACATTTTATATATATATACATATATATATTTTTTTTCATTTTGAATACATTTAGATATTTTTTTTATTTATTTATATATGAATTCATTTACTTATTTTAATTATTAATTTTTTTTTAACTAGGTTCGTGGAACAGAAAAGACAAAAGTATCTGGAGCAAAAAAGAAATAAATTTATTTTCATGTATATTTTTTTTTTTTATTTTAATAAATTAAAATAAGATACATATTATTTTTATCCTTAATGTATATTTTTTTTTTTTTTTTTTTTTCCTTTATAAAAACACTTTAATTTTATGCTAAAAAAAAGGTGAAAGAACTAAATAATTTTCAACATATTATTAATAACCATGTGTTAAAAAAAACATTATAAATAGTTAGATCTTATGTATAAATGAGATATAATTTTTAGAAAATATAAGAACAATATAAAATTTGTTAAAGTATTTTCTTACATATCCATTTTTGTTTACTCCTTTTAATGTTATATAATTAAAAAAATAAAAAATGATACTAAAATTATTTTTTTTCATTTTTTCCATTAAAATGTATAATATTCTAAAAGGGTTGAGAATAACTAATTTATAATTTTTTTTTTGTATTTAAAATAGACCATAAAAATAAATTAATAAGTGTTAAAAACAGAACAAACAACATAGGAAAAAATTATAAAAAAGAATTGGAGTTATGGTATAAAAGTTATCTTTTAAAATAGCATTTATGCTACTTTTATAAAAAAAAAAAAAACAATCAATTATTACTATTTACTTTTTATATGAAGAGTTAAAATAAAAAGAACGTTATATAAAATTATTTGTTCTTCTTTTTAATTAAAAACTTTAATTAGTTTTCTAAGAATTTGTTTCAATTTTTTAATTTTAATAAATGTAAAAAAATTTATATTATTTCATTTAACCTTAATGATTGAAAATGTAAAACATATATATATATATATAATTTTACTATATATGACTAAATGTATTAAAAAAAAATATTATATTTTAATTTCAAATTATTAATTATTATTAATATATCTAAAATTCAATTATACATTATTTTATACTACAGATACATTTTGAAACAGTTTTTAAAATATTATATGATCATTTTTAGTAAACAAATAAGACAAAAAACAAAAAAAAAAAAAAAAAAAAAAAAAAAAAAAAAAAAAAAAAAAAAAAAAAAAAAAAAAAGTGAAGGAAAAAAATAATAATAAAAAAAATAATTTTAAAAAAGAAAAAAAAGTATATATAAATAATTAATGTAAAATAACAAAAAGTTAATATATGGATATTATGAGAACACTATACAAAATTTCAATAGTTTCTTTTTGAACTTCGTAATACTGTGATCTAAAGAATTTTCCTTTGTATCTTTATTATTTTCCTTAATATTCCTACTATTATTTTCATTTTTATCAGGAATTTGTGTATGATAAGCCGATAATGCCAATAATAAAATAATATGCCATAGAGAATGTTTAAAAAAGGATCTAATATTACATTTTGAGGGTTTTTTTAAAAAATTTTGAAATTTATAATAAATAAATAAGTTAGGTATTAGTGATGTTAAAATATACATATAGGATGTATAACCACAAAAAAAAAAAATCAATGGGAGTAAAGATAATCCAATTATATATGGTCTACAAAGTTTTGCAGTATATATTCCATTTTTATCTTGAAGAGGAAACATTTTATATTTACCTTTTATATAGTCTTCTTTATATAAATAAGCTAAAGAATAAAAATGAGGAAATTGCCATAAAAACTGAGTTATAAATAATATCCATGGTTCAGGTAAAAACAAATTTTGTTCAACTGCTGTGCAACCCATTAATGTTGGTATTGAACCAACAATTGAACCAATGTGGGTGTTGTAAGGCGTTTTTAACTTTAATGGGGTATATAAACATGCGTATAATATAATATTAAATATACCTAGATAAGATGTTAAAGGATTATTAAAAAAATATAATATTAATGAGCCAGTTATTGCTGATGTAAAACCAAATATTTCTGCATGCTTTAATGATATTTTATTATTGGCTAATGGTCTTTTTTGAGTTCTTTTCATTATTTTATCTATATTTCTTTCACGAATTTGATTAAATGTATTAGCACTACTACTACACAAAAATACACCCACTACTAAAGCTGAAAATTCTTTTAATGAAGAACCACCTAACATAAAATATCCAAATGTACTACTTAAAGTTACCCATAATGTTAATTTAGATTTTGATAATTCAAGATAGTTATTTAAGTAATATTTTAATATATTAGAATTAATTTTTCTATTGTTTTTTTGTATGCTTATTATATTTTTTTCCAATAATCTATTACTAAAATTTATGTTATTGCTCAATGTATCTCTATTATTTTTATTATTAATCATTAAAATTCCTTCATTTTTTTTGTCATCTTTTATATATTCATTATTTTTATGTAAATCTAAATCTTCTAAATTCTTTAAATTTTTTTTTTCTTCACTATAGTATTTCAAGGAATCTTTTCCTAAAATTTGATTTGAACATATATATTTTTTATATAAATGTTCCAAATTTAAAATAATGCCTGAACTCTTTTTTATATATATATCTTTATTTAATATTCCTGTTTTCTTAATTAGTGAATTCCTTTTAAGTGTAGAAAATTCATATCCATCAAGGAATAAATTCTTTTTTTTATTAATAATAAAATTATTGCCATCTATGATCATATATTTTGTTACGTTCATTAATAATGAATTTTTTTTCATCGTTTTTTTCTTTCATTCTTTATATTAAAAAAGAAAAATTAATAAATTGTATACGTTTAAAATGTTTCATGTATACTAATATAATTTAAAAAAAAAAAAAAAATACTACTATTATAAAATTTTTTAGTCTACCTTATATTCTTATTACAAAATGTTAAAACAAAATTTATTTGAAAAAATTAATTTAAATGAATGTTAATTAAGCAAATATTCATTTTAAATTAATGAAATTAAAATCAAATTATAACTAATAAAATTAAGTAAAAAATATATCAGTGCGTATGTACAAAAAAAAAAAAAAAAAAAAAAAAAAAAAAAAAAAAAAAAAAAAAAAAAAAAAAAAAAAGAAAAAAAAAAACACTTAATAATATTTTTACAAATACTTTTTAATGGAAAAATTTTAAAAAAAAGTATAAATATATATTTTTATTTTTTTATAAATTTTTTTTTTACTTATGAGAATAATTTTTAAATGTTTATATATTTCTTCTCAAAGTTATAATTATTTATTTTTCTAATTTTTAAAAGACATTTTTAACTTTTATAAATCTCTGTAGTATAAATAAATAAAAATAACTTAAATTTTTCATTTTCTATAAGATAAAAACTTTCATTTAGAAATAAAATAATATTATTTTAGTAGAGAATTTCTTAGAATTACATGAATATTATTCTTGTTTTCCTTTTATTTATTCTATACAATAATAAATTTGTGAAATAATTTAAATATTAAAACATCATTTTTACATTAAAAAATGGAAAATTATTTATTTTTAATATTTTTTATAAAGGGAAATTATTCAATTAAAAAAGTTTGCAGCAAATAGCTACATTTAATATATGTTTATGACTTAGAATTGTTTGATGTTAAAAAAGAATATACTTTTTTTTATTTTTTTAACAAATGAAACAATGAAATTACATATACATAGAAAATGATTTTGCTATAATTACTTACTAATTATTTTCCATCTTAAGCATTCTCTCATGTAACAAATTTATTATGATTGTAAAAAATAAAAATAAGAAGCTAAAGCATTTTATAATACTTTTTCTTAATAATATAATAACCTTTATATATATTAATCAGATGAAATTCTTAAATAGAATATATTCACCTTTTATTATTAAATCATTATCACTTTTTTAAAAATATAAATTTAAAGTTTATTGCTTTTTATATTTATTATACTATTTTAAATTAAAAAATTTTTATGTTAAAAATACATTTTGAGTCACCATATAAGTCATTAAAAGTACCATTCATTTTCTCATATCTGAAATATATGAAGCATATTAATATAAAATAAAAAAGAATGAATTATATCTCTATTTAGAGTGCCTAGAAGTAAATTGAAAAAGAAAAAAAAACTAAGTAAATTATTATATGTAATGTTAAAAATAATTTTACAAAAATTATATTAATATACTGTCGGAAGATATTAATAATTTAGTTGATTCTATATATGAAGTATATTTATAAAAAAATTTTATTATAATTTCATATTTTAAGTAAGTATAATTAAACAATATCTTATTTCACCTTTTTTAAATATATAAACAATTTTAAAAGGCTTGTAATCATCAATTAGTTTTCATTTTACATTATTTCTTTTCAAATTAAGTTCTTTTTTATTTTTATAAATATTTTTTTTTTAAAAAATAATTATAATATTTCATTTCTTGTAAAAATACACAATTTTCCATTTTATTAAATTATTATTATAAACTACTGTTAACAAATTATAATAGGATTTAAAATAAATATAAATAATTTTTAGAACATATATATATTTTCTTGATATATAATAAAAATAACATAATGTACATAAAACGAATTTCTTTTTCTCTTATAAAAAGATTTAGTTTTAAAATTATCAATTGCTACAAATAATTGCATTTACTAAATATGAAAAAAGAAGAAATGAAAAATGATAAATTCAAGTAACAATATTTGTAAAATATAATGAATAAAAAAACTATTAAAAAAAATAAGTAAACGGACATATATCTTTTTCATTTATCTTTTATGTAATTTTTAATTATTTTCCAATGAATATTTAATTTCTAATCACTCATAATGCTATGTTTATTTTATATTATTTTATTAGATATTTTAATATAATAAATAATTACATTATATGTTGCATCTTACATTATTCCTTTTAAGTTATTTTTTTAAATATAATAAATATATGAAAATCAATTGTCATAATTTACATTTACAGCTAAAAAATATAATTATATCCAAATTTTTTTTTTTTTTTTTTTTTTTTTTTTTTTTTAGTTTTTAATTGTTTATTCGATTAAACATTAAACTTAAAATATACACAAATATTTAAATGTATATATAGTTATTATAAATAGATAATTGATAACTATTTATAACAAAAGAAAAAAAATAAAAATCAAGAAAATTTAAAGATATAAAATTTTTTTTTTTTTAATATTTATATAAATGCATGCGGAAAGGCTTTTTTTTTTTTTTTTTTTTTTTTTTTTTTAATATTTAATTAAAAATAAACTTTAAAAAAATATATTTTTTATTTATATATTTTATATGCTAACTTTAAGCTGTTTATTTTATATTTTTAATATAATAATACAATTATTCAATATTAATTCTTAATATATATATATAAATAAGAAGTAATTTTTTTTTTTTTTTCGAAAATGCGAACATGTGATCCTAACTCAGCTTTTTTTGGATATATGGGGATTGCTGCATCTTCAATCTTTTCAAGTAAATTATTCTTTGATATTTGCTTATTACTATATATATATATATATGTGTGTATAAATCTTAATTTTATATCTTGCTAAAAAGTATTTATTCTTTAATTTCCTTTTTTAATTTTTTAATGATTCTTTTTGCGTATTAATTTCAGATTTGGGGGCAGCATTTGGTACTGCTAAAAGTGGAGTAGGAGTGTGTAGTGTTGGTGTGATGAGACCTGATTTAGTTATGAAGTCGATATTACCTGTAATTATGTCTGGTGTTTTGGGAATTTATGGAATTATTATGTCTATTCTTATTAAAGGAAGAAGTACTTATATATAGAGTTTTTTTTTATATAAGACAATATTTTATATACCTAATGTGTAAATATTATAATGTATTGTTCTCTTTAAATTATTTATTTATTTAGTAAATAATATATGAAAATTCTTATTGTTTTGTAATATTGGAAGTTTTATTAACAAAATTACAAAATTATGTACAATGTTATATATTAAAATTTGTTTTTATTAGTTTCAATTGATACTTATTCAACTTATTTGGGGTATGCTCATTTATCATCAGGATTAATAGTTGGATTAAGTTCATTAGTAGGAAACAAAAGAAATTTAATAAATTATATAATTTCAAAAATATTAATTATATGCTTCATATGTACATTTTTTTAATACATATATATATATATATATATATATGTTTTTTTTTTTTTTTTTTTTTTTTTTTTTTTTTTTTAGGCTGCTGGATTAGCTATTGGTATTGTTGGTGATGCAGGTGTAAGAGCAAATGCACAACAAAATAGATTATTCATGGGATTGATATTAATTCTCATTTTTTCTGAAGCTTTGGCATTATATGGTAATTTTTATTTTTAATTACTATTATTATTTTTTATATTAAAAAAATAATGTATTTATATATAACATAAAATTATGTTTTTTTTTCATTTTACAAGTTAAAATTACAATTTTTATTTTCATTTTTTACAGGTTTAATTATAGGTATTTATATTACAATGTCAGACACTCCTGCTCTTTGCGAGTCTTACATAAAATAATGTTAATGGTTAATGAAATTTGCTTTTATTTACTAAAATAAAGAAAGAAGCAGAATACCATTTTTTATTTTTGTAAACATCTTCATTTTTTAGTTTATATTATTAGAAAAAATTACAGTATATATGAAAATGGTTTAAAAGAAAATTATTATGGCTTAAAGTAAAATTAATAAAATATACTTAAAAAAAAAAAAAAAAAATATTATCATAATAATATTATAAAGAGCATCTAAAATAATACAATAAATTAAGCTGTGCAAAAGTAATTATTTATAAAAGCAGTTATTCAAAAAGTATATTATTTTGAAAATAAGTATCTTAAAAAGTAATGTCTTAAACATATTTTTTTAAGAAACACAATTTTAAATAAAATAAGATTTTACAGTTTATAAGCAGAATTGCGAATTTACTTTTTTTTTTTTTTTTTTTTTATTTTAATACGTATGTATATATACATATACATATATGAACTTTTTTTTTTATAATATATGAAAAAATAAATATTAATAATATTAAAAATAAAAAATGAAAAAGTTTTATATGTAAAAAAAAAAAAAAAATTAATAGCATCAGAATCTTTAACTACTCATTTGTAATTTCAATAATTCGTTTGAAACAAAAAAAAAAAAAAAAAAAAAGAAAAAGAAAAGAAAAATCAAGATTCTTATTTTTGTTTATAAGAAAATATACTCTTTGAATAAATCATTTTAAAAAAGAAAATTTGAAAAAATATAAAATAATAATAGATAGAAACTATTTTTCTCTAAAAGTATTATGTATTTTTATAGTATCTTTTATTATTATGAATGCTATATGATGCAACTAAAAAATGAAATTGTTTACATATAAATTTAATTAAAAATATTTACTTATTTTTTTCATTTTTTGTGAAGTATCAAAAAATGAACCTAGCTAAGTTTCTACAGTTGTGTCTAGTTTCCATTGCAACTGGGCCTTTTATTTTTGTAGCTTTGAGTTTATTTTTTGATATCATAACAAAAGCATTATCATCAAATTTTATATAACTTCCATCTTTTCTTTTTGTTTCTTTTTTTCTTCTAACAATAATTCCTTTTGGTGTCTTTTCTGAAACGGTACATTCACTAGTTTTATCTCTAATAGATACTCTTATTCTATCTCCTATTTTTCCTGTTCCCCATTTATTCTTTCCGATACCAATTATACATGCTTTTATTACTCCACTATTATCTGCACACCTAACAATGGATTGCCTCCAAAGACCATCGAAAATATGTGAAAGTTTTATCATTAACACATGTATATAAATTTAAATAATAAAGTACAATAATAATTTTTTATTTTTTTGATTATCAAACTATCCATTAGCAATATTTAATTATTATTATTATAAAAAAAATAGGTAAAATAACTTTAATTTTTATTTTTTTTCTTTAACATTATATTTTAAATTAAGAAAAAAGAATGTATATATATTTTTACTTCTTAAATGATTAAATGTAGTAACATTTTTGTTTTATTTATCTTTTTTTTTTTATTATTATGTAAAAATATAAAATCTCTCACTACTGTTATTATTTTAAAATACTTAACTATGTATGTATAAAAGCAAAAGAGCAATTATTTTTAAAAAGCATAAAAAAATATTATATATATATTTTAAGTGCTTTTGATAAAATATTAACACATTTTATAATAATGCATATACAAAAAGTAATTTTATGAAGATTACAATTTCACATTTACTTTAAAATCTTTTAATTAATATTATTTTTTAAAATCATAGATAATACATAAAACAACTCATTAAAGGCAATAAATTTTAATTTCTTTTAAATAAATTTTATTTTATATTTTTTAAGAATAAAAAATTTTTTTCCATATAAAATTTACTTAATTATATAATATTTTAAATTAAATATAAGTATGTCATCTTAATATATATTAGGGAGAAATAATATTATACTTATTGTAATAATTTAAATTTTTATATAACAATAATAAAGATGCTAAATAAAAAAAAAAAAATAGATAACTTCCAGAAAAAATTTAACGTACATATGAGAAAATATGAGAATTTTCATAAGTTAGACTTTTCACTATAAAAAAATATTTTAAATTTTTAAATTTTTAAGGTTCAAATTTAACAAATAAAAAAAAGAAATATGATGTATAAAAAAAGGAAGAAAAAATATTTGAAAAGAAAAATGTAATATATATTTAACAACTCCAATAAATTAAAAACTTATTAAATAAACGGCATTATACAATAATTATATCCTTAAGATAAAAATTCTATAAAGATACACCCAATATTTCCTTACATAAAAATATTTGGTATATTTAATGTATAAAAAATTATATACATGATACATTATATCAAGCTTAACAAAATGTAAATACTATATATTTAGCTTTAACAATTTATATATTTTAATCATAATAAATAAGCTAAAAAATATTATAAATGCTCAAGCACATTATTTTTAATTTTAAATTATTAACATTTTGCCTAATTAAAATAAAAATGAATATATAATATAGAATCAAATAAAAATATTAAGATACAACTTTACAAACAATATTTAATTAAAATCTTCTTTTTTTTTTTTCGTTTTTTTTCTCCGTATTCATACTAGAGCAATATAAATATTTTGATGCTTCTATTTTTTGGTTTTCCATGTATTCGTTTACTGCATTTATATTATTGTTGTTTTTAGATTGTTCCTTTTTTTTTGAAATAACAATAATATCATTTGTTTTTATTTCTCTATTTTCATTATTTAAATTAAAATCTTTCATCAAAAAATATAACCTATAATATTTTTCAAATAAATATTCATAATTTTCATCGTATTCATTTTTTAATGAAAATAGTGATTTTTCTAAATAATTTTGTTTAATGATTATAAATTCATTATTTAATATAGTACCATTGAAATTTTGGGGAAGAAAAAATAATGGTTTATCTATTATAATATTATCAACACAATTATCTGGGTTTTTTTTATCTGAAATAAATAAAATATTTCTTAATGCTATATCTGAAATTTCTTCATTTTTTTTTTTTAAATTTTTTATTTCACTCTGACTTAACTCAGGTAATTTTAAATTAGACAAATAATTGTATTTTTCTGAAGAAGATAAACTACATATGTACTTATGAACCTCTTCAGATATATTCCCCCATGCATGAACTTGTTTTCTCCATTTTTTAACTTCTTTATTCCATTGCGATAAACTTAAATGTTTATTAATTCTAGGTGTTTCAGGATGCCAACCGTTTTTTAAATCATTACTTCTTTCGTTTTTTGGTATGGCACTTATATACCTTTCATACGATATTAAACGCTTAGTTAAATTAATATTTTTTAATCTTTGATTAATTTGTGCCTCATTTAATTCATTGTTGTTGAATGGATGTTTATTTCTTTGAAAATTCGAAATCTTATTCATTTCATCATGATGTTTCACTAATATTCTCTATTATGTATTTAAAATATATAATGTTGAAGCTCTGTTACTTTTATGAACTTAAATATTTTTATAAAACAAAAAGGAATTAAAAAAAAAAAAAAAACATGAAATATAGCATTACTGTCTAGTATAAAAAAAATAAATAAAATAAAATAAACATATATTTTAAAAATAAAAAATATTTATAATTAAATGTTTAATTTTTATAATTTCTATCAATAAAACGTTCATTTAATCAACTTAATATTTTGAAAGCATTATGTTCAAAAAAAAAAAAAAAAAAAAAAAATGAAAAACAATTATGAACAACTTAAAATAATGAAACATAATATATGCAAAAAAAAGAAAATAAATGGATTATCGTATATTTCAAAAAACCTCAAGATGAAAATATAATTATTCTTGTGAAACGTAAATAATATAAAAAAAAAAAAAGTGCGTTTAAAATCAAATAAATTTATTCTGCATGTAAAATTAGGAAGTTATATTTTGTATATGTAAAATTTTTAAAAATTGTAATGAAAATTTTCTTTTTAATTTTGTTGTTGCAGATGTATGTTTCGTATTTTTTTTTTCCTTTGTATATATATTATAATCTTAATAATTATGATACTTCTAATTTTTTAATATATAAACTATAATTATTAACACACTAAAAAAATAATTCATACAATCATAAAAAAAAGCAATAAAATAAATTAGATTAAGGAAAAAAAGTTATATGAACATCAAAGTAATATATTTAACTCTATAATACTTTTTAAAAACTTATAATTTATTATAATAAATTAACAAAAAGGTTTATATTTAGTATAATGATACATTATTAATTATGATTTACAACTCTTGGAGCATAATTTCATTTCTAGAAAACTTGTTAAACATTTATTATAAAATTATTTTTTTATTCATATTTTTCATATTAAATCTAATTGCTTTTTCATTATATATATATACACATTTTAATATTAATCTTAGTATCTTTAAAAAATCATATAAAATTAAGGAATGTCTAAATATATGTTTTATATATACCCATAATAAATTTTTTATTGAACTTTAAATATATAGAATGCAGAATTTTTTTAATAGTGTATGAATTCCTTTTACAGGAGTGTGTAACAGTCAATTTCATAAAAATATGTTAAAAATGAACATATTATATTTTTCATTACAAAATTATTTTTCTATGATATTATAAAATAGATCTTTATATATTATTAAAATAAAAAAATAACACACGAGATTCATTTATTCTAATGTTTGTTTAAAAAAGAGAATAGATAAAATAAAAAATTATAATTTTTCTTTTTTTACGATTTCATAATTTCATCATAACAAATAAATTAGATAAAAAAGAAATAAATAGATGACAAGATTAAAGAACTTGTTAATAATTCCAAAAAAAGATTTACGTTAAGGTTAATTTTATATAAAACATTATTTTTCATTTTAGAAAAAAATTTGTTTAGAATAAGAATCTTTAAGAAATAAGAGATCATGTAAAAAATAATAAAATTACTTTTTTATTTTTTCATTCCACACATTTTTTTACGTCATAATGATTTATATAATTAGAGTAAATCAAAAATACTTTATTGAGTTTAATAATGATGAATATTTAATCGAAATAAATTTAATATTTTGAGATACATAACCAAAAAATTTTAATATTTATAAACACATATTGCCATATTCTTTTCACTTAAATATAGCTATTTTTTTTTTTTTTTTTTTTTTTCAGTTAAAAAGCTATTTATTCAATTATTTTTATGATTAATTCACAAAATCATGTATTGGTTTTCCCTATATCAAATGTTATATTAAAAAAAAAAAAAAAAAAAAAAAAAAAAAGCTTTTTGTAACTGTATTTTTGTTGTAACATTAAACAACCATGCTTAAAGTATATTTATTATTTTTTTTGATTTATTTTTTAAAATATTAAGAACACACATAAAAAAAAAAAAAAAGAATATAAAATAAATTATTCAAGTAAAAATGTCTTTTTCATGTTTTTCTATTTAAAACATATTTTAAATTATATTTTTCATTTTGTTGTAACTTTTTAATTTTAACACTTCAAATATTTTAAATAATTTCCACATAATATAATAAAATACATTTATTTTCTTTAGAAAAAAAAAAAAAAATTAGAAAAGAGTTTAATTTCTTTAAATTAAATTTTTATATATTATTATTTTTTTATTATATTAATAATCACAACAAGATTACTATATCTACCTTTTTTTTAACTTAGAACAATGGCTTCTTCACACGAATCATATGAAGGTAATAATAAAATATTCTGCATAAATGTTATGTAAATTTTATAATTTTAAAATGTTTATATATAAATATATTATGTATATTTCTAATCATTGTATGAATAGACAAACCAATAGATAAAAAGGAGACATCACTCGACAGTGCGTCAAATAAATCAGAGAATTCCAAAAAATCAGAAACTTCCAAAAAATCAGAGACTTCTAAAAAATCAGAAACTTCCAAAAAATCAGAGACTTCTAAAAAATCAGGGACTTCCAAAAAATCAGAAAAATCATACACACCAGAAATAGAAGTTGAAACTTTTGAAATTAATGAAGATAAGGATAAACAATATAATAAGTTTCTCCAATGTTCTAGTAATGAATATTCCATTGAGCAAATGAAAAATTTTTTAAAGTAATACTTAAAATATAAATATTGGAATATGGATGAGAATATTTTTCAAATATTTAATTAAAATATATATTTTCTTTTTATTTTATTTTATTTTTTTTATTTATTTTTTTTTTTTTTTATACACTATCACTTTTTTATTCTACGACCAATACACTTTATCTATTTTTTACTTTTCATTTATTTTATTTTTTTCTTTATTCACTTTTTAATCATATTTATAGATATGGAATTACTGAAAATGGGATTCGAATGATGACAACGGATACTTGTTCTTGGTTGAATATTTAATAGAATTAATCAAAGCTTTATTCTTTTCATTTTACATTTAATTTTGTTTTCTGTCTCTACTATTAACATTGTTTTATATCTCTTATTTTATTTATATATTTTTATTTTAATTATTAAATTTTAGGTACTACGATTATTATAAAATAACAAAAACATCTACTCCTCATCTAAAGGAATTTACAGATAATACAACTGTAGATTATTACTACTATACCACTCCTTTTTCTACACAAATAGGAAGTATTAACTTAGTCATGATGCATAGTCAAGTAAACTTTGGAGATGAAACATGCACCCCTTCAGACAGATTTTTTAAAATGAATGAAGCAACACCTGAAATGATCAAAGAAGCGAAAATTAAAGCTAATCAAATTAAAAATACATGCTGTTTGAAAACTCTTTAAAAAAAAAAAAAAAAAATTTTTTTCTTTAAATATATATTTTAACAGTTTATAAACATATACTATCAAAGGAAAAAAAAAAAAAAAAAATGCTTATTTTTAATATACTTCAATTTAGAATTACTTTTGATCAAATAATTTTTCATTTTATATTTTCTTTTTTTTTTTTTTTTTTAAATTATATTTGATTAATTTTATTGTTTTTCATACATTAAATTATTATACATCTTATTATTCCCAATTTATCTTATATAGAAATTTGATTGCATAAAATACATTTAATTGTTAAATATCTATGTAATAAAAAAAAAGAATAATTGATTTTTTAAAGCTATTATTTTTCTTTACTTTCTTTTTAATTTTTTTAATTGTTGTTATTATAATATATAAGTGAACTACTAAATTTATTTTTGTTTAGCGATAAATTTATTTATACCACTTTTCGATTATATTTTTTTTAATATATTGGTTATATGAATTTTCGTTAAATTACTTTCTTAAATAGTAGTGGATTCTAATTTTACAATAATGTACAACCTAATATACACTTAAGGAAAATTATTTTAAAAACTATAAATTTATTAATATGAAATGTAATTCTTTATTTATTTACAGTCGTAAATTGAATATATTATTTTTTCACTACTTTTTCTTTTTATTACTACAAAAAGATTACAATAATATCTTCGTCATTTTTGATATTTATTTTTATTATCATCTAACTAAAAAATGTTCAAATTAACTTTAAGAAATAAAATTTTCATACATATATTGATGTATATACACTTTCTATTTTACATAATTTTAGAAAAGTTAAAATATATTTTAAAAATTTCCATATATATTTATTTTGTCTCTGAAATTATTTGAAATATATCTAATTAAATTATTTTTTTTTTTTTTTTTTTTTACTCTCTTCATTAGAATTATTATATAAAAAAAAAATATAAAATTTATTTTTATTCTTTAAATTTTTTTATTGGAAATTTATATTAGTGTGTTACTTAATTTTAACTTAAATATCTTTCTGAAAACATTCAAAATGAATAAATTATTTTTCTTTTTTTTTTTTGTTAATTTGTTTCTGTCTAAAAGTCTTTGTGAAAAAACAGAAATATTACCTTTAGGTGATATTTTATCTGGAGTTGCAGATATAGCAAATGTAGTATCTGGTAAAAATGAAAATGTGACCAATGTTGTTTCAGAATCTACACCAAAAATAAACTTGAAAATAGTACCATCAAAAAAACTACACATCACTAAGAATGATATGATGTTTCTATTATCAGAACTTCGCCAAGAAATAGGAAGACAAGTGATAAAAACTTTTTACATAAATAAATTTGAAACTTTGTATATCATATTTTTTTTTTTTTCATTTTGTTTTTTTTTATAGATTAGTATATTAGAAGGTATGTAAAACAAAAAAAGAAAAAAATTAATAAATAAAAAGTGGAATGTAGATATATCATAAGTAAAAAAATCATCTTAAACAAATATCTACAAAAATCATAGAAATATTTTCAACTAAAAATGAGAGTATAACAAAAAAAAATTTTTAAGTTTTGAAGTGACATACTTTAGAAAAATTAAAAATGACTAATAATTGGAATAAAATTATAGTTTTTATAACCGGATATATTTAATATATATAAAAAAAAAAAAAAAAAGTTATTTTTTACATAAACTAATTTTTCTTGTTTTTATAAAATTAATAGATGAGCTTGAGGAAAAAGAAAGAATGAAGCAGAGGTCTGCTTCTTTATGGGCAACCAGTCATTCACCAGTTTATGTTCCACAAGAAAATAGTATTTAACATATTTTAATATTTATTTCTTTTTTGTTATCTTAATCCTTTTTTCTTTTTTCTTTTTTATTCTATATTTTATAATTTATATTTTTTTTTATAAAATAATTAATAGATCAAACAGAAGAGGTAAATCATAAAAAAATTATGTAAAACATGATTTAATGAAAATTTACATATAAAATTTATATTAAAAAATATATATTTATACATTTACTTATTTTAGATAAATAATATAAATGATGAAGATAAAGAAGAAATTGAAGATTTGTTAGACTCTTTAAATAAGGTATTAGTTGTATAATTATTAATATATATTCATTATTATATATATATATATTAATCTTTATTTATAGATTAGCAACGACGAAAATATAAAGGAAAAAGGAAATTTAACATATAATATAGAAATACGTGATAAAAAGAATTTCGATGAAAAGGAGACTTCAGATAATGTTATGCACTTTAGGCAAAAAACTTTGAGGAATGGTAAAAATAAAATCTAAATTAATAGAAATAAAAATATTTATACGTTTTTTTTTTTTTTTTTTCATTTTTTAAATTTACCTTTTATATAATGAATAGGTCCAATAACAAAATAGAATAAGTAATTTTCCGTATTATTATTTATAAAAGAAATATTTTTTGTTTTTTTAAGAATTTAATATTTTATTTTTTTAAAGGAATATAATAGCTATAACAATTTTCTAATAGTATAATACTACTATAAGATATAAAAAATGTTATTAAAAAATTATTTCAATTTTTTTTTTTTTTTTTTTTTTTTTATTAATAAAAATTTAGAAAAAATATAATGTGATTTATAAAATTTTTTTTTTTTTTCTTTGTAACTTTGTTATCAATATAAAAAAAAAGTATATTCATTTTTTGTACAACAGTATAAAAAAAAAAAAAAACATTGATAAATATGATAATCTTGCTAATTATACTTTTACTCTCCATTCTCTATTTGTTTTTATTTATATAAAAAAAATATACAATTATTGATTTATGTATGTTGCATCGATTAAAAAAAAGATTTCAAGATGTCTTTTTTTTAAGTTTCGTTCGTTTGAGTCTATTCGAAATTTAATTATAGTATAATAGTATTTATAAACATATATATTCATTTGTTTTTTTTTTTTTATAAATATAAATAATAATGATGTAATATTTTTTTGGCGTCTTTTATAATAACTTTTTTATGAGATAAACGTAATTTATAAAATGAAATAATAAATCATAGAGGGAAAAAAAAAAAAAAAAAAAAAAAAAAAAAAATTAATATTTTATTTTAATTTTTATT